TAGGAAAGCTTTTGCAATTGTTCTCCTGATTGAAATTTCTAATTTTAAATTGCATTTTTGAAATGCTTAAGAAATTCCAAATATTTTGATAGGAAGTATGATTTTCCGATTTTTCAAATAATAAATAGAAATTAAAGGAACATATTAGATGAATGAAAAAATTATTCACTAATAAGGATGGTTTAAGGATAGGAAAGCCTTTTTCTAAATCATAAATTTTATCGATTTCTAATTAAATGAAAAAAATAGTATTCGTCAACATTTGCGCTCAATTTGAACATCATCTAAAGAAAGTTAAATGAACAGCATAGAACAGCGAAAAATTATGCAACTATACTTTGACAATAAAGAAAAATTTTGGTATAAGAGAAAAAGATAATAAGAAAAGTTTTTCTCTTTTTTCATTCTCCATCTTTTTTTTATGAAATAATAACTTTTGGCATTAAGAAAGCTAAATACGGAGCCATTTATGTCCGTTAATTTGGTTAGGAAGTATAATTGTAGCTAAATTAAGATGAAGTAGAAAATTATGTTACCAGCAGCAATAGTAAGTTTTTTTAAGAAAGGATGAAAAAAACTAGAAGAGACGCGAATACAAGGAATAGGAGGATAGGAAAGAAAAAATTTAATTATAATGAAAGATATATCGCCATCGTTTGGATAAGAAAAAAAAAATAAAATGAAACAAAAGAGATGAAAATTATTGTTAAAAAAATGAGAAAGTTAAGAAAACCGGAGGGAATGAAACTAAAGATGATATAAAAAAAACCGACGACAAGGAAAAGGAGTATTTAAAAAAATCCGTTTCAACATAACAAAAGTAAAGGCGATATGAGTTGAGTTTCTTACTCCTTCTTTTAAGAGCATTTAACTTGAATCGACACACGTAAATGCAGAGCTTTATGCATCACAAGCAGCTTTAGGGTATATATTAATGTTGCATGAATTTTGAAGAAGCAAAAAATTAATTTTCATACTCATAAACATATGTGAACCAAAAATAATAATAATTCGTTATCAAAATTTATCAAGATTTTTCCCTTTGACTTTACCCATGATTATTTTGAAAGCTGCTTAATATTTCATTTCTTTTCTGCCTTCAGATATGATAAAATATTTGACTAGCTCTTGCTTTACGTGTATTTCTCAAAGTTAATTGTTTGATGTTATTTGTCCTCAAAATAACAAAATACGTTTCCATAAAAAAAAAACATTAGAATATCATAAAATCATTAATGATAAACTTAAGTTTGATTAATGAACAGAAATGTATTTTAAATTTTAAAGAAATTGGCAGAAAAGTTCTTGAATGATTTTTGTTCAAGATTAATAAGGAAAAATCTTTATTTTCTAATCCCGTCTTTTATCTTAAGGATGTTAAGTTCATGCTTGTTGATTCGGTACAAGAAAAAAATATTTAAAAAAATTACAAAAGGACTTTTAGATGCCATTATTGATATGAATGATGAAAAGAAATCAAAATTATTAAATTGAAAGAAAATTGGAAACGTTTAACTCTTTCAGGTGTACATAAATATCTTGTTGAAATAATGTTTGACATTTTATTACGTGAGCAAGTAAAGGAGATATTGATGCACTATTATGAAGTACCCTTTTAGATTTCTTACGGAACATATCAAATCATTTTTTCACTCAGCGTAATGCATAAAATGAATCTTATAGCGGAAATAAATCAAATCAAAAAGGAGGAAATAAAATAAAATAAAATAAAACGTGAATAAGACACTTGAGAAGCTAATATCGATTTCGCCACGTTCTCACTACTAAATTGGTTGCTTCTTTTGACTTTTCTCGTTCGCTCTTCCTTCGTTCGTTCTGCAATTTATGGTTAAATTATGCGGAAAAATGCAATAAAAAATTTTCTCGCAATACCGACTTTACGATTCCTTGAATTCCCATTTCAATTTTCTCATTCGACAATCAGCAGCCACAATATCAAGTGGCTTTCGCTCTTTAGTTCCAAAATATGTATTATAAGAATAAATTTATCCATCTATCTGCGGCAAACATAGGAATGAATAAAGAAGGAAAAGCGATGATGGCGTGCAAGTGACTCTGAATTCTTTTTCCAGTCATTAATTTCACAAAAATCATCTACTTAAAATGCCATTTTCAAAACCTTGTAAAGTGCTATACAAAAAAAAATCACAAGAACTATCATGATACATATTTTTAGTAGATGGGAAAAAGCAAAAAGGAAATGGAGCATCATCAACATCAATGGTTATAATAGTAATGACAGTATTGTAAAAACCAATGACGATGCTCTAAGTGTAGTTAGCTCTTCAGAATCATTTGCTTTACCTTTCATTTCGTACGAGTGAATTTTCCTAATGTTTTCAAAGCACTCAATGTCAAGAATGAAATCTTTCTCTCCTTTTTATTATAAGCGCATGAAATTATCTTTATAAGTGATTAATCATTTCAACATTATCTATCAATAATGACATCTTTTGGTATAAGACAAAAGAACTTTTTTTTTTGTATATTGCAGGTACTTTTGTAGATTTTCATTAGAATCATTGTTATTATTGTTGATTCTATTAGAAATACACAATTATCGTCATTAGGAATTAAACTAAAGTTACAATTTCAATGGAAATTATAAGCTTATTTTATCGTTTCGTTTCTTGCCAATCACATCATCTCCCCGTTCTTAAAATTTTATTTTTAAATCAAATATAGCATGATTCCCATACATAAGACGATAACTGTGTTTTTCTAGGATTTTAATTTTATTTCGAAAAACATTCAAAATGAAAGTTATAAAAAAATTTATTATCATGAATCTACGAGGTGATAAAATGAGAAATGAAAATTTTGAATTTAAATAAACCCTTATCACTTCATACTACTGTTGATTTAGTAAATTTGCTGTATTAAGTTCAATTATAGTTTTTTTTAAAAAAAATATTAATTGAAAATAATAAGAGAACTTAGCATTCATTTGGTAGATGTATGTCGTGTTGAAAATTTATTAAAATTTTTCTTTTTAACTATGTTTGTGATCAAAATTAAGATGATGAAATGATTCCTTCTATGCGTAGAAGGAAATGATGTATGATGTAAATCAATAGTTTATTTTATTTAAAACTCTGATCAAATCGAGCTTTAATTTTTCTTTTAAATAGTTATGGTTAAATGGCACACTTTTTAATTCTAGCGAAATTTGTCAATTATTTTTTGTGCTATGTTAATAAACGAATCATGATTTACAATGTTCCGTAATTTCATTTAACCATATACTCATCTTACAGTTGGGTGTAAGTGATAATTAAATAATACATTTCTCCAAGGATCTTTTTGGAAAAAATTAATTAAGAAAACATAATTATTATTCACTTGGAAAAATCAAGTGAATTCTTTTCAGAATTTGAAAGGAAAAATTAAACGTCTTTGCTTCTTCTTCGCCTTCAAATATATTTTTTTGCAATTTTCAAAGTGAATATCTGATTTTTGTTTCATTTTTGAAATATCTGATAGTCGATTCTTTTTCATTGATTAATAAAAACTAGTTTTGAAGGCAGAAAAATGGCGAATACGCTATCCTTTATCGCCTTAATAAATTAAGGGATTTTTTAAGATGTTAGTGTTTTTATTTGTGCCGCTCATGAAGATTCTAGTTGGTAATAAGATTTACTTAAACATAGAGAGAGTACACATTCATAGTTTAGTGTTTCCATTTGTACAGTTTATCAAAGTTATGTTCCTCCCTCCTATGCAAATGTTTGAGGATAATTGGCCAGTCATAAACTTTCTATGCCTTTGTTGATTTCGCCAAAAAACACATTATATTACAAGATTTGCGCGGCAACACTTGATTTGAAAATCCAAATCTTTTTTACGTGTTTTTTTAAATCTTCCCAACTTTTATCTTTTTGACAATAAATTTTTTTCTTTTTTTATTTTTGTTAAATTAGCTTATATTCTTTTTATACAGGAAGAAAAAAATGATAAAACTTTTTGGGGCTTGATAGCAAGTAACATTTAAATGTCATTTATGATAAAACATTTTGAATTATGAACATTTATATTTTTTTGTCATGCACATTATATTAACTATGACGCATTATTGTGCTCTTATTATAGTAATTTCCTTATTATCAAACCCCTATGAAGAAAAAAAAATGTTTTCAATTTTTCGATGCAGAAAGTTTTTATTTGTTGCTTAATGATCCGAGCTGGTGGTGTCTTTTTTTTCTATTTCAATTTTTTTATTGATCAAATCCAAGAATTTTTCGATATGTGATCCTTCGAAATAATTGTTTCTATTTAAAACAAATCTCGCATTAATGTCAATAATAAATGAAGAAAAACATTTTCTTGATAATGAATTTATTGGAAATTTTTTATGTCTCGGAACTTTCTGGTATTTGTTTTATATAAAAAATAAAATATAGAATTGAAAGAATGTTTTCGAAATCATGACCTTTTCGAAGACCCTGTACATATGTTAAATTTCGCGAATTGAAGCCATTGAACGATATTTTTTATGTTGCATGCATTGTTCGACTTCGTCGTCATGAAGTAAATTCTTCGTATAATTTTTTTTTACTTTTTTGCAGAATTTTTCTGCTATCTGTTTTCTTTTTTTTCCTTAAATACATTTCTAAGAATTTTTTCCTCTTTTTTAATCGTTACAAAATTTTCATCGCATTTATTATTTTAACAAATTTAGTTGTTTGAATATTCATTAGTTTTTGTTTCAAGTAATTCATTTTTTTTCGTTTTACAGTTATGAAAGAAAGAATAAGATAACATTGAAATATTGACCGATGATGGAATGAGACATGATAGATCTCTAATCTTTACGAGTCATCAAATATTAAACAAGTTTCATTCTTTAATTAAATCCAAAAAACAAATATTTTTAATTTGAAGAGTAAAATTTAAATTTTTGGGTGATAAAATGAATTATGAAATCAAAATACATATTAAAAAAAAAGTATTTTTTAAGAAGACAAATTTCATTCAGTAGTGCTTTGGGATAGTTAAAACATAATAAATTATGATTTGTTGCTTTTCAAAAGTAATAAATCAAGATGAGTCATCTTTCATTCCATCACAAAAAATGTAATAAGAGTGTTTTTTTTGTTTGTGTAAAATATCGAAATCAGAACAAATGAAATTAAAAGTACCATTGATGATGGCTCCGCTTCTTACTTGTTATTTGAATCTTCTTGTTCAGCTTCGCTTTTTGAAGCAACATATAAAGCAGGATCTATGACCTTCGGGATTGGTTTGATTTCAGTTCCCAATTCTTTTTCAATGCGATGTAGATCATATCGATCTTCGTACGTGATTAGATTGATGGCGATTCCTGTAATTCAACAACCACATTTAAATTTTAGTTCGTAAAAAGAGAACGAGTGCAATGAGCTTACCCAAATGTCCGAAACGACCCGAACGACCAATTCGGTGTAAATAAGTCTCAGCCATTTTAGGAAAATCGAAATTAATAACAACATTCACAGCCTGTACATCAATACCACGTGTAAAAAGATCCGAGCATACCAAGTTGCGACATAAGCCGGAACGAAAATCGTGAAAAACACGATTACGATGGACTTGAGCCATTTTAGCATGAATATAGTAGCAGCAATAACCCAATTCAGTTATTTTCTTTGCCAACAGTTCGACGCGTTGTGTCGAGTTACAGAAAATGATGGATTGATTGATTTGAAGTTTACTGAAGAGTGTATTTAAACAGTGAACCTTTTGGCGCTCTTGAACGAATGCATAATATTGGGTGACACCTTTAAGTGTTAATTCCTCCATCAAATTAATTTCATATGGATTGCGCAAATGTTTATCCATAAACTGTTTAACTGTCAATGGGAATGTGGCCGAGAAGAGCAAAATTTGGCGTTCTCGTGGGAGCTTCATGATGACATGATCCAGCATGCCCTTAAAATCTTGAGATAATAATTTATCGGCCTCATCAAGCACAAGTATTTTGCAGTTAGTCATAACAGCCACTTCCTTATCCATCAAATCAAGTATACGTCCTGGTGTAGCAATGATGACTTGCACTTTTTGATATAATCTCATAATATCATCCTTTAAATTTGTTCCACCTGTTGTTACCATAACTTTTATGTCCAAATGCTTAGCTAGTTCAATGCAAATTTGGGAAGTTTGTAGTGCCAATTCTCTAGTCGGTACAATAACTAATGCTTGAATGCAATCACGTTTTTCGTCAACCTGCTCCAATATCGGAATACAGTAAGCTCCCGTTTTTCCTGTGCCGTTTTTCGCACGAGCTAAAATATCCTTTCCGCCAAGAGCAATTGGAATTGCTGCTTCTTGAATTGGAGATGGTTTTTCCCAGCCCATTTCGAAAACACCCATCAGCAATTCTCGTTTCACGCAAAACTCTTCAAACTCATTTCCACGTGTATCCGTTACATCCTAAAAATAATGGAAACGATATTAAGAGGATATAATGAATTAAGTTGCAATACTCAGTAAGTCTATACATACACTAGTCTTAATTCTATTATCTTTGGGTGGTATCTGTAATTTTGCTTTCCATCCAGGATCCATACGTTCGCTAAAATTACACAGAAAAAAGGTACTTATTATTTTTTTTGCCCTTTTTAGCTTATCATATCATTTCTTGTGTAATACCTTTGACTAAAATGATTGTTACTATTCATTGTTTCAGTCATCATTTTGCTGTTAGATGTTTGGTTATTTTTCGATTGAAATTTCTGATTCTTATGCATATAAATTGATTTTTTTTTCACTATCAGTTATACTTTTTTTGTGTATATTATATTTTCTTTTGTTTATTTTTTTTTTTTATCAATATTACTGCTTTCAAGTCTCACTTTTAAATCTAAGTGTATTTACATTTATTTATTTTTTTAAAAAACACCTTTGCACGTTCTAAAATCTTTGTAATTTATATTGAGTTTTTTTCTTTCTTCTTTGTTTTGCACAAACTAATTTATACAAATTTTATCTCAAATTGTTCCTTCTCTCTTCTTTAATCACTAGTTTTATTTTTGTTTTTAAACTATTTTTTTATGTATTGTGCTCACACACACATCTTTATTTTGCACAATAAGAGTTTCACTTTTTCCTTTAATTCATTTATTTGTAAATTCACAATAGATTTTTCTCTTTTAATTTTTGCTTCCAAATGTATACGTTTTATCTCCAAATATTACGGTATATTTTTCTTTCTGAAAATAGAAAATTAAACAAAGAGTCAATCAAAAAATCCTGAAGTCAATATATTTTTTTCAACATCAAAGTTAACCTATAATTTACGATATAAGGCTTTTAATAGATTTATTAAACTATTAAAATGCTAGGCTTATCTTGTTGCATCATGATCTTCTCAAAAACTGATACAAAAAGTGGAAAAGATTAATTTGTGATTTAACTTTCGAATAATGCCAAGCGTCGCCATTGCTTCGTAAAAAAATTATGATGATTTTACACAATTTTTCAAACTTGCTACAAATTTTATGTTAATTACAGCACTTTTAATGTAAAACAGCGAGATTGGTGAATTAATTAAATTACTATCATGATCTTATTCAGAATCTTTCTACTTTAAAGAGTACAAAGCCGAGCACATTGAAAATTTTTCAATCAATATTTAATTAACTTCTCCTCTACAATTTACTTTAATACTCATGTTTTGCATTAACTTGCGATGCTTTCTAGCATAGTTTTATTAATTATACTCACTTTTAATCGAGTTTTTTCCTTGAAAAAATATTTTTTTAATCTTTTCGCTCTGAGCTTGATACTCCAATTGAGCAATTTTTCTATTGCAGGGATATTCCTATGACAAATTTCTTTTTTCAAATGTTTCTTTAACCGTCAAAAACAAAAACGAAAAAGGTTCGAGTGCCGTGAATTAAAATAATAAATCTAGCCCAAAATAAAGTGAATTAAACTGCAGTTATAATCATAAATTAGGAATAGAGGTACGTTTTTTGAAATAACATTGGAATTAATTGATTTACTCCAACAATAAGCATCAAATTTTAGGAACTTATTTTTCCTTTTTTTTTTGTTCCTTTGTGCTTTTTTTAGCCAAAACAATGAAGCGAAAGCAGGCGAATATTCTGGATATGCTGAAGAAAAGAAAGCCAGATGAACCAAGCGACAATGATGACAATACAACTAAAATCTGTCCATATTTGTTAAATTCAAATGATCTTACACAAGAAACAAACTATACAGTTTCTGTTATGGCTAAAGTTTATTTTCGGGATCATTCAAACATAAACGAGGTTCTTGATCGATACTTGGAAAGAGAGAACATTACAAATGTGAATAAGGAAATTTATTTATCTGCCATGATTCGACATGTAATATCATATAGTCGTATCCGTCGAGATTATCCTTTTAACATGTTTAAATTTGCATCTGATTGTCATGAAACAATTGGAAAGTTTCTCTTAAAATACTTTGAAATTAAATCTAACGAGGACTTGGGCGAGGCAAACTTATACTTGTCACGAACTAATTTGATGCATTGTCAAGTTTCGATGGACCTCAATAATAAATTTAGACATGATGAGGAAGAATATATAAATCAAATGAGGGAGAAAGTTGGATATAAAAATTTAAAGCAATTTCTGTGCATTGCAAGTAATCACGCATTAAGACAATACTATCTGGAGCATAATCTTTTTGTTAAATACTATATTGATGACATTAGTCTCAAAGAAATGTGCGAAATTTCAACAATTAAACGTATGACAAAACGCGACATGAATCAAAAGGGAATTCCTGAATCTGCATTTGACGAATGCCTTGACAGCGTTTTTCAAGCGTTAAAGTGTAATAGAGGCTTAGTAATATCACTAGAAGGATTTTATATATTTCCTAAATACTTGTTGATAATCAATAACTTGACAAGCGAACAGGAACACATTGTTACTGAGAGAATGGATAGATTTTATTCTTATACAAATGCTAAAGATCTGCTAGCCATTTATAAGAAAAATATCACATTAAGTAATGAAAGCGACGATCCTGTTACGAATCGAAAGGAACGAAGAAAACTTTTCTATCTCAAATACATTAGACTCGTTGATAAGAAGCAATATCCATTTAACAACTTATTGTGGATTAAAAAGGGAGACATCATTCGCCAAATTCAGTGTTCTAATGATGCTCACTTAGATTGTGAAGCTGGCCCTGGTAGTTCAAATGTTTGGAAGAAGAAAACTGTTACTGAAAAGAATGACACAGCTCAGGACGATCGTCATAGAGAACAGGAAAATGTCGTCATAGAGCATCGATTAGCACGAAATCCAAGAGATTATTTATCAGCTCAAATATCTGGATCTAAATATGCCGATATAATATCAATTTTGATGAATGAAAGTGAAATTATCGAAGAAATCAAAAAAGATGTCATTCAAAATCCATTATGTGCAAAAATGTGGAATAGGAATTTTAAATTGATTTTGTGGAACTGTATTCACATCAATTTGGAAGAAAGAAATGAACATTTTATGAATCTATTGATGAAGTGCTCTTTTGGGAACCGCGACAAACTGAATGAAATGTTGAGACAAGCTAGCATTGAAGGTATACAAGAATTCTTTCACAATTTATTTTTCTATTGTAAGAAAACTTTTCAGTTAATTTAGTCCACACTATTGGAGAGCCAATTGCTTCGTCAACACAAACTATGGATATTCCGTTCGATGTCGTATTATCACCGATAAACGATAATCAAGAAAAAAGGCCATTTCAGAGTATCAATACTGATGACATTATGGACATCAAAGTTCCCGAGTTTGAAAATCAAAAGAAGATAAAGCAAGAAAAATGTTCCGAACAATCCGCTAACAGTTCAGATGTTGAAATCGTTTCTCTCAATGTAACTGATATTGTTTCAATATCAGATGAAGAAAATACTATTATATCCAATAATCGAGTCATACCTGAAAATAATGGAATAGATGTTTACCAACAAAACTTAAATATCGACAGTCAAATCAATCACCATTCGAATGACATTAATGCAAGTTTGGAAGCTGAGTATGGTTTAATTAGCCACCGAAATGCGATACAGAATGTGACAAACAGAAGAAATGATCGAAATAAGCCTAGCAGAATTGTTTACGATTCTGATTCAACATCCTCAAATAATAATGGTAAAAGTAAAAATGCTGATTGTAACATCCCTCAAGAATCCAATAATTTTTCTATCTTCTTTAGCACACAACTAATGTTTGATTATGCATGTCACAGCACAATTCAGACGCTTTTAACTTATGCAAAAGCTCCAAAATCAACTGTCTCATCGCCATATCAGAATGATTATAAGCCAAGTTTTTTTCTAGAAACACAACGAGTTATGTTTATCAAAAATCACAAGTTTGAAATGCTCATTGACTTACCACTAATTTCATTATATGATGTCCATATTCGGAGTTGTTTTATAAAAGAAATTTTAAACTTAAGCAATCCAGAATGGAATGTTCTTCTTTTTAATTTAAATTTATTAAAGAGCTATGATTTCGTTAAAAAAAAGTATGAGCACAGTCGGTCAAAAGCAGAGGATACAATAGAGAACGTGGTTAAAAAGCATTTGGATCTTTATTTTTCATCGTTAACTAATTTTAAGAAATTTTATTATCGATTTTCGGAAGAACTAAGTCACATTGAATGTATCAACTCTAAGTTAAATATAAACTCGAAAAAAATTACAAATAGTATTAAGTCTTCTGTACTGCAAAAAATAAAGATGTTAAAAAAATAGGCTAATTTGTTCCTTTTGCGAAACATAAATGTAGACTGATTCTTTGAAATGATATTTTTAATAATTAATTTGTTATCTTTAAAACAATGTTTGTCTTGTTCAGTTCAAAAATCCTGTTAAATGATAATAATTAAAAAAAGTTGAAAGAACAGCAAATTATTGGCATTTAGTTGCTTTTTGATTTTGTTTCCAATCGATTCTTTATTTGTTTTAAAGAATGTTCAACTCCTTACTTTTCATATTTGTATCATTTTTTGGCGTTTTGTTAACAACTAATGCTCAATCGAGATGTCAAAATGAACCAAATGGAGTACAACTTCCAATGGCAAACAGTCGAACCACTTACTTGGTTTGTTTAAACGGTTCAGAAAACATTAGGAATTGCGCAAGTGGAAGAGAATTCGATCCATTCGATAGAAGATGCTTACCGTCGATTACCAGCATTACAGGAACCAGATCAATTCCAGCTGCTAGAACACAGACTCATGACTTGTGCTTGAATCATCAAGATGGAGTACTAAGCAAATGAATCATAAATTATGAATAAGTATATTTAAGTGAGTTTCTATTATTTCTAGACGTATTTGTCAGATCCAACTGCCGGAAATAGATTTATTTTATGTGAAGGGGGTACAAGTTTAACAGGCGAATGTCCTCAAAATCAAACTTTCAATCCACAGACTTCTTTGTGTGAAATTCAGTCTCGATCAGTACCAGCTAGAGTCACTAATTCAACAAGATTGCCAGTCAATACTTTCCGATCAACAACTCCAAGATCATCCTTTTCAAATAATAACATGCGACCACCACGTTTATCACAAAATGTTGTCTACAAATCGCCTTTACTTCAAAAGTCTGGAATAAGTGAATATTAAAAAAATAAAACAATTCCAACGACCATGATTGAATAAAAAAAGCAAACGATAGAAAATAAAATAAAGCAAATATCACATTGTAACAATTTTCTTTATTAAGGAGTATTAATCTTTATTCTACGCTAAACCTGATTAAAAATTAAAATCCAACATCGGCTGATATAAAAAACCTTTATAATGTTAATTTCTTTTGAAAATATTCTTTAATGAGGATTTATTCAATCTTAGCTTTAGAACAATGATGCAAGTAAGCTGAAATCAAAAGACTTGTCTTTTTTGATCATTTCTAAATAGGCATCAATCTTCAAGCATCTCTGAGGATCACTTGCGCTAATAAAGTCACTACATTCGAGTTCACTAAGATATTGTTTTGCAGTTGTGACTACACTCTTTGGAAGCTGTGCTATATCTGCAACTTGTATTCCAAAAGATTTAATCATCGGACCTGGTTTGACTTTAAAGAGCAGTGTCAATTTATCATTTTCAACTAAAGATGCTAGATGATAATTCTTAACATTTGGTAGCGAATCAGCTAGATTTGTTATCTCGTGGAAATGAGTTGCAAAAAGTGTAAAACATTTCGTAGTGTTTGCTAAATATTCGGAAATTGACCATGCCAATCCTAATCCTTCAAATGTAGATGTACCACGTCCAAGTTCATCAATTATAACCAAAGAATTGCTCGTAGCTGATTTTAAAATGGATGCAGTCTCAACCATTTCAACTGCAAATGTACTTAAATTCTTCTGAATATCATCAGTTGCGCCAATGCGTGCAAGAATGGAGTCACAAATAGATATCTTAGCACTTTCGCATGGCACAAACATTCCCATATGCGATAAAAGAACAGCACATCCAATGCTTCGAATATACGTGCTGCAAATATTTATACAAATTAAAAAAATAAAATTTGTAAAGAATAAAAAGGCTTACCTTTTTCCAGAAATGTTTGAACCAGTAATAATTAAAAGTTCGTTTTCATCGACTTTTAAATCAACACTGTTCGGAATATACTGAACATCATCCTGACATTCAAGGCAAGGATGGCGTAATTCATCAACTTGTAAAACTCGCTCACTTGCAGGGAACATTTGCGGACGTACATAACAGCCTGGTGAATTTTGTACGACATTTGCAAGACCTAAAAACAAATCTAGCAGTGCAATAATGTGATTGAGATTCATTAATGGAGTTGAATATCCAGCAACAATCCGACAAATTTCTCCAACGATATTTTTTTGTTGTTCTTCATATGATGCTTTTAGAACTGAATACTCTTCGTTTAAGCCCTTTATAAGATCTGTTGTAAATCGTAAACCTCCACGAGCAGTGTCAATAACTAAGAATTTAGAATGTTTTCGTACATTTTTGTCTTCCTTTTTTGTTGTTCTCAGATAAAATCCCAAATGCGAAATGTAGTCTAATTTTAGCCCTACATCCAATCCTAATAATTTTGCTGAACTTTTCGTTTCTTTTGCAAGTTTTTCTTCAAGGCTATCCATATTCTGTTTAATATCATTTAAATCATCATCAAAGGATGATCGGACTAAATAGTCTCCTTTTTTAAGATTTTCAGCATCAATTACTTCCTCAAACATGTCTTGAATCTTCTTTAAATCTTGCATCATATCTTTTAGTGGCGAAACCATTGTAGAGATTATAGCATTACAGCCGAGTGTTTTTAATACTTTTATAATTTCAGGCAATCGTGAAATTACGCAATATATTTTGTATACATCGATCAAATTTGCACGTTTTCTTGACAATTTATTGGTAAGCATTAGAACGTCTGGCATTGTATTCAAAAATTCATTATGAAGAACTGAACGGGCTTCTTGATTTTCAACAAAACATTCCAAAATGTCAAGTCGCTCTTTAATCATATCTAAATTCTTAAGAGGTTGTTTGATCCATTGACGAAGAAGTTTTTTTCCTTGTGTTGTCTTACATCTATCTAAAACGCCTAATACTGATTGATTCTTACTTGTTGTTGAACAATAGATACTTCCAGGAACTGGGAATAAATTAAGCGCTTTAAACGCTGCAGTATCTAGATGGAGAAAGCGATTCAAGTTCAGAGTTTTTATTGTATATTTTCCCAAGTTTGTTTCATCTTTAACGGTTTCCAAGTACTTTAGTGTTGCTGCCAAACATTCCATTGCATTATCAAGCTTCACTTCGGCAATTGAATGAATGTTATGTTGCTGACCTTTCTTGAACTTGTGAATTTTCTCTAAATCTTGCAAGAATTCTGCATTTTTTTGAAAATCAGATTTTTTTAAAAGTGTCACTAATACGCTGTTTCGATCCATGATGTCTTTAATTTTCGAGTACTCGCCAGTAATTTTGGGTAACAATACCTCTTTTGGAGATAAAATTACCATTGCTGCCTCTAATTCCATAAAAAAATCTGTATCATCAAATTCAGAAACTTGAATTATAAATTCATCTGAATCCATTGAGCAGACAGCTACTTTCTAAAATTATAATTAGACATTATCAATTTTCGTATATAATTGAATAAATGACAATAATGTACTTTTTGCTGATTGCATGTTATGACTTGAATGGAAACAAGCAAGTTTGAAAAGACATCAGTTGATTGGTGTGACGAGTTAGATAGCAAATTTTCAAATTGCACTAGATTTCCAGGCGAACCTTTAAAAGCTTGTACATACTCATCTTTCTTGCATGTATAGACCTCAACTCTATAAAAGTGTATTAATAATAGCTCACGAATAAGTCTCTCCATCAAATTCTTATTGAGAGAAGCATATTTAAGTGTCAACTTGCTATCATCTGGAGCCATAATCTTTGTTATAATCGATGATTTTAACGATGTTTTCAGCGCAATGTCTATATCATTTCCATGAATTGAATAAAAATCGGATCTTTCAAAAGCATGAAATATTCTCGCATCTTTGGAGGTTGATTGTAATTCTTTTGTGTAAAATTCAATGAATTTTCTCTGTGACTTTTGGTCTGTTGAAAAATATTTATATAAATATATTAAAGATCCATATAAACACTTTTTGAAAGCGTTTAATTATTGATCAACTTTTAAGGATAATTCAATTGATATTTTATGTTGTTTTAAGAGTTTATAACTTAATTAATATAATGAATTGATATCTTACCTAAATTAAGTGCTTTATGTACTTTTTGGGCCATAATTAAAATTTTGTTTAAACTTATGTTTTGCCGCTAAAATCAAGGGAACATAGAACATGTTCGAAGGGTAAGACAGCGGTACTTTTTTTTAAAAATTAAAAATGTAAACATTGAAAATATACCAATAAAATCATCCATAAATAAATAAATTAAAGCATTTTTAAATTATTTGAAATGATTTCAAGTGACTTACCGGCTTGCCTTAAGCGTGACTTAAGAACATTGTAAAAATCAGGATTCCAAAAGCGGGAAACAGGTGCTTAATTTTTTACAAGGACTTAAGAAAAGTTTAGAAAGAAACGCAAAAAAATGTAAAAAAAATCTTGACAAACAAACATTAATGGATACTAAAATAAGTAAGTTCTTTCCGTTAGACTCTACAGAAAGTGTGATAAAGTTATTTAAAAGTCAACTGGAAAATGAAGAGAAATATGTTGATCTTACATTAATATCAATTTGTTTGGGATATTACGAAAATTCTCTATGTAATAGAGAAAATCGCGAAAATAAATGCACATTCCCGACTTTAGATTTTGGAACCTTTGAGGAACTTTATAAAAAATTTAAGTCGATTGTAAGTATAGCAGAAACGCAAACATCTCAAACAAAAGGAAAATTAAAGACTATTGATGTCAAATTACCAACTCGAGAAAAAATTAAGAAAATTTCGGATGTAATCTGGAATTCACTCTTAAGATCGTCTTATAAAGACAGAGTTCATCTACAGTCAGTTTATAGTTATTTAACAGGCAACAAGCTAGATTCGTTCGGAGTAGCTCTTGTTACGCTTGCAGCATGTCAGCTTCTTAATTATGATGTTCATTTGGCGCTATCGGAAGACCACGTATGGCTTGTTTTCGGAAATAATGGTGAGTCATAATGAGAAAAGATAAATGTTGAGCATCCGAATTGTTTGGAATTTCCTATTACAATGTAATTTTTTATATATTGTCATAGAAGAGACTATGGAAATTACTTGGCATGGAAAAATTGCCGAAGACAAGAGAGGCCACTCTGTAATTCCAGGAATAGAAGCACACACTTGGTTGTATCTAGCTGGAAATCCTGTAATTTGTACACGCTTTATGGAACTTGCTGTTATTGTTCTCTCAATAAATCCACATTTAAATCCAACAAGTGTTTGCGCTGAACTGGCCGATTTGCAGCAGCAATTGCTTTGGATACTTTATGAAGTTGGCCATTTAAATAATTATCCAATGAGTTTAATGTATCTTGGAGAAATGGAAGAAAATCATCCAACGCCAAGCAAAATAAAGTGCGAGACTCTTTATGAACAAGCAATACAATCATCAATTACTTATTACAAAAATCATCATGTTTATCCTTATTCGTGCAAGGGAAATTATTACTATCGCAAAGAAAATTTTCGAGATGCTTTTCGGTGTTGGACAAATGCTAGCGATGTGATTCGTCTTTACAATTATTCTCGTGATGACGAAGAAATTTATAAAGAGTTTCTTGACATTGCAAATGAACAGATCCCGCAGATAATGAAAACCGAATCAAGTGGCCATTCCGCAAAGAGGTACAAATTAAATCATACTTATTTTTCGGTTTTATTGAAATCCTTTCATTTGCCTTAATTTTAGCATTTTGCGTGATCCGCATTGTTTTGCAAACCTTTTAAGATTTTATGACGGAATCTGTCAATGGGAAGAAGGGTCTCAAACACCCATTTTACATATTGGATGGGCAAAACAATTGTGTTTCTCAATTTCAAAATTTGACTATGATATCAGATCTCAGATAAAAATTATTATTAAATCAGACTTTGACGACGATAACAATAATAAGAAATCTTCAACCAATGAGCTAATAGTAATTTGTAATGAACCAAAAATTAGTGATGGAATTAAACCACTAGAATCGACGAAATCTTCAAATAGTGAGCTAAAAGTTGAATTTCCAATGCTCCCCTCGCTCGATGAACTGACTGCAGCATGTGGTGAGAAAATTCTAAATCCGGACTTTCTTTTACATGGTGGAGGAGTTCCATTTTCAGAGTCGACTGTCGATGATGAAGATTTAAATAAGCATTCAGACAAAAAAGAGTCGTCTAAAGAGACTGCTAACAACACTGAATTATTTTGTGCATTAAAAACGTTATCTCGTGAAGCTGAAAAAATTATGTCACCGTTACAAAAAGATGTAGCATCACCACAACTACACTGTCCCATAGTTAACTTTGATTCTAAAAATGAGACCTTAAAATCAGAAGATAATTATAATAATGACACGAATAATAATGATGGGAAAGTTGACATTTTTGAAGATGAAAATACTCCAAAGAGGCCAATAATTACTTTGAAATCGCGTAAAATGAAAGGCTTGAAAGATCTCTTACTTGCTGAAAAGCTTAATACGAATGCAATATCATTACAAATTACTGCACAAAGTCATATTGGAAACAAGAAATCCAGAAGTGAAGAGTCATCTGGAGATGGGTCAAGGTCTAAAAGAACGCGACGAGAATGAGACGGGTTTTTTTATGAAAATCTTTGGTTTTATCCTTGACAGTAAAAGTTAATGTTTTTTTTAAATCTTCGATTAATTATTATTATTATCATTACTATTCGTATTAAACATAATAATTAAACTTTTTAAATTTGTAAGATGATCAATCATCTATAAACTTTAAACAAAACATCATTAAATATTTTACCCTTTTCTATGGATATTATTTTTTCTCTTTTAAAGAGATCTGTACCTTATTACATGTTGAATTTTGGTTTAAATTTTTTGGATCTTTAATATTTTAAATTGGTTTTCTAAATTTTAAAAAAAAATATATATAATGAGATAAAATTTATTCTCAAATTATTAGAACAGTGGTGAACAAGCTTTTTCCCTTGCAATACGCTCTCCATCTGAAATTTAATTTGTTTATTTTTTTAAAATCTGTCAAGTTTTGCTTTTATTAAACGCTTTTTGGAAAAAATTTTTGACAAAATTTAAAATAAAATCAACACACTTTGCAGCTTGTGGCGAGGCAGAATTTAAACACCACTGTACTAGATATTTGGTTCAATTTAAATCTCTCATGAAGTACAAAACTTAATCACAAAAGACAAATTCGAGGATTTCTTCAAAAAAAAAAAAAATCATATTGAAATTTTGTATCAACAAAAAAAGTATATATTTGGCTTTTATACGAATTTTAGAAATTATATAATTGAGAAAAAAATATTTTTGGAAATTATTAGAAAGCGATAAAAAAAATAATGAAAAATTGGACATAAATTTGAGATCAATAAATATACATCACATTTTTCACGTATATTTTAGAATTAAGGTGGATGAAGATAAGAAAATTTTTGATCTCAAACTAGAATTTACAAAAAAAGGAGCAAAATTGGAAAGAAATGTAATTTGGAATGAGAGTGAGGAAATCTTCAATGCAAACGATTGGAATTAACTCTTTTTTTATAATCCTTAAACAACAAGAAACCGATTTCATTACAATTTTTTGAGTTATTGAATTTTAATGAAATCGAGGATAAATTGATAATATTAATTAATAGATTATAGAAATAAAACAATAATTACTGTGTTTAAAAAAAACAGAATGTTAAATGCGCTTATCGTAAAAGTTAAAATGTTAGTGTATAAACTTAGAAATATGATTTTATATTTTAAAGACTAATCACTATAACGATGTACTTTTCGAGATGTCTCGAAATTTTACTCTTATTTTTTTATTTCTGATTAAATTTGGAGTTATCTCTTTTTTAAATTTTTTCCATTTAATAGAGTAAAAAAGCTCGTTCTTTGTTTTCTAAATAGTTTTAATTATTCCGATTATAAGCTTCTGGTGCTGTAATTCGTTTACATAAAAACATTTAATTTCGTCCATTATTTTCTTCAATTTTCCTTCAACATAACAATTTTGACTTTATTTTTGAGCAATCAGCTATTACTTAAGAAAGATTACTGACACACCTACTTCATAATCAAAATAATTTTTATCTCAGTAATTAATGACCTCTATTTAATTTTTAATTTGCTTTAAAGTATTTTAATTTCAGTTTTGATCATATAGTATCAGTTGTAAGAAATTATATTTAAGTATCTTGTAAGAGTAATATTCAAATCGTAATTTCTGTTTAGTAATACTTATGCATAAAATGTTTTCAAAAAAATTTCTCAAATTTTGTTCAAACTGAAACACAAATTTAAATAATTTAAATTATTTATGAAAGACTTTTTTATATTTTTGGAGTTCTTTATTTAAAGATTCAATTTTAAAAAGGCATTTTTAAAAATTAGTTGTGATGGAATTTTTTTAATGTTCCTCAAGTATTTCATTATGGAGTAATGAAGCCGTTCACTTATAACGTAAGATGAAATAACGACTTTTTTGACCCTCTTATTCTCCCACCTTGTAACAAAATTTGTACGAAAGAAATTTCTTTTGTTTGAACCGTAACAAAATTTTAGACCCCCTCCCCCCTTTTCTCATAAAAATCGTTAAGTAATAAGCGAACGGCTCTAAAAAAAACTCTTACTATTTTTGTTGAATCTTTTATTTTCTACTTTCTTTTCTGGTGGATTAGATAGCTGTGATTTGTAAGATATGGAATCAAAAATCGAAACAGAAGAAATGTAAAAAAAAAATCGAAATAAAGTGAATCCTTTGATGCTGAAATAGACACCTACAAACAACAGTTTATCATCTATACATAAAATTTAAACGCAAAAAATAATCTTATTTGAATAAAAATGCTTAAATTAAATAACTTTTTAATTAGTAGTTGCCTCAGAGTTTCACTTTAACTAAACGCTACATACGTTTCTTGAAAATTGCTACTTAACGCTCTTGTCAAATAAGTATTAAATGTTTACGAAAATATAATAGTAAATGAAGATGTTAAGCTGGTTTTCATAAAGCGTTACCTAGTTTAGTTAAATTAAAGCATTCAAAACTTTAAAATTTCAAGTTCGAGAAAAATATATATTTCGTTTTTAATGAATTCAACTCATCCATGGAATTGCCCAATAGTTAATTTAACTTTTGTTTTGAAAGTTTCCGTTACTTTTAAAATATTTTTAATTGAATTTCTGAAATAATTGCTTAACCTTATGAAGATAAGTAAAAAGTTCTTGATTTTATGAAATAACGATTTTTGAAGACGTATGCGTAAGCAAAATCCTACGTAAAGATTTTGCTTACGTGAAAAAATCCCACGTAAAAATTGACGTAGAATTTGAAAAAATCATGATTTTTTCCAATCTTCCAAAAATCGTGATTCCAGACAGAGTTGCGATCTGTCACAGGTCAACGAAAACAGCCCATCTGTTACAGGCCTCCACCTGTTGACAGGTCAAATTTTCCCACCTGTCACAGCTCTGACCTGTCACAGGTCACCTTTCACTATCGAAACTTTATTCCTCTTGTGAAGTATAAAGATTTCATATAAAATTCGTCAATTTTTTTCTTCCTCAAGTCACTGGTTTAAATGTCACCTCAAGCAACTTAAGTTATTAGTTTCACGAAAAACACATTTTTTTTTTATACAGCCTGAAGGACTCATTTTCAAAAATCACAAAGGGTACCAAAATGTGTGTATTAGAAACCCGGATTTTTTTGTAAATAAATTTTTACAATTGGACTATGCTTTCAAAACGCCAAAAAACGTCTTTTGGGTCTACAAATTTGGAGAACAGGGTCACAGCCGAGCTATAAGGGTCTCGGAAAATAATTCTTTTGCCATTTGATCACACAAAATAAGCAATTAGGGGGATCGAAAGTCATTTTTCGAAATTCTTAAATTTTCAGTAGTTTTGAAGCTGTCAAAGTTGGAAAACCTAGGAAAAATGGTAATTTTCTTAAAATTCTTGCGGCACCAGACTTTTTTTCAAACTCGATATTATATTGATTTCTATCTTATAGTCGTCAGCATGAGCTTTACAGAAATACCCCATATGACTATATTTTGACTTAACCATGACTTGCTAAAGCCTCTTGAAAATAATCGATTTTTTATCTATATTAGCATTCTTTATCATTTATAATACCTAGATATGTTTTAAAATGCAACTTAAAGCATTTTCGGTTTCGATCATAGTAGGCTATTTTCCAAAAAAAATATCGATTTTATATCTTAATTAGCATTCTTTATCATTTAATACCTAGATATTTTTAAAATGCAATTTAAAGCATTTTTGGTTTCGATCATAGTAAGCTATTTTCAAAAAAAATATCGATTCTATATCTATATTAGCATTCTTTATCATTTATAATACCTAGATATGTTTTAAAATGCAACTTAAAGCATTTTCGGTTTCGATCATAGTAGGCTGTTTTCAAAAAAAATATCAATTTTATATCTATATTAGCATTATTTATCATTTATAATACCCAGATACGTTTTAAAATGCAATTTAAAGCATTTTTGGTTTCGATTATAGTAGGCTATTTTCAAAAAAAAATATCGATTTTATATCTATATTAGCATTCTTTATCATTTATAATACCAAGATATGTTTTAAAATGCAATTTAAAGCATTTTTGGTTTCAATCATAGTAGGCTACTTTAAAAAAAAAATCGATTTTAAATCTATATTAGCATTCTTTATCATTTATAATACCTAGATATGTTTTAAAATGCAATTTAAAGCATTTTTGGTTTCGATTATAGTAGGCTATTTTCAAAAAAATATCGATTTTATATCTGTATTAGCATTCTTCATCATTTATAATACCCAGATACGTTTTAAAATGCAATTTAAAGCATTTTTGGTTTCGATTATAGTAGGCTATTTTCAAAAAAAAATATCGATTTTATATCTATATTAGCATTCTTTATCATTTATAATACCAAGATATGTTTTAAAATGCAATTTAAAGCATTTTTGGTTTCAATCATAGTAGGCTACTTTAAAAAAAAAATCGATTTTAAATCTATATTAGCATTCTTTATCATTTATAATACCTAGATATGTTTTAAAATGCAATTTAAAGCATTTTTGGTTTCGATCATAGTAGGCTTTTTTCAAAAAAAAAATATCGATTTTATATCTATATTAGCATTCTTTATCATTTATCATACCTAGATATGTTTTAAAATGCAATTTAAAGCATTTTTGGTTTCGATCATAGTAGGCTATTTTCAAAAAAAAATATCGATTTTATATCTATATTAGCATTCTTTATCATTTATAATACCCAGATACGTTTTAAAATGCAATTTTAAGCATTTTTGGTTTCGATCATAGTAGGCTATTTTCAAAAAAAAATATCGATTTTATATCTATATTAGCATTCTTTATCATTTATAATACCCAGATACGTTTTAAAATGCAATTTAAAGCATTTTTGGTTTCGATCATAGTAGGCAATTTTCAAAAAAAAAAAAATATCGATTTTATATCTATATTAGCATTCTTTATCATTTATAATACCTAGATATGTTTTAAAATGCAAATTAAAGCATTTTTGGTTTCGATCATAGCAGGCAATTTTCAAAAAAAATATCGATTTTATATCTTTATTAGCATTCTTTATCATTTATAATACCTAGATATGTTTTAAAATGCAATTTAAAGC